GCGATTGGGGGGCCCCGCTGGGCCCGCACCAAAGGTCACTCCGGCCAAGTGTCACTCTTACGTGTGGCCGATTTTTGTGACGCGCGATACACCGCTGCTGCTCTATGCGCACTGCTATTGAGGGGGGCCATTCACTTGGCTCGTGCCAGATGTCAGCGCGTGACATACACACTCAAAGACCGATTTTGTCCCCTGGAACTTGCGCCCCAGACCAGCCCCGGGCGAGACCCGATCATTCTTCCCTTCCGATGAGATAATACCATCTCGGATCGCCGTGCACATCTAGGATCCGCCGCGCAAAATCCAAGCGCCCAGACTGGTCGTGCCGGGCGGCAGCAAAGACGTCGGTGTTGTGACCCTCAAAGGCCGGAGCCGCCTCCTCGTCTGTCCTGGTGCCCCCAAATTCTAAAAGAGCCCCCTGAAGCAAAGTGCGTCGCTGCATCTTCCGCCAGGGCTCCTTCCGCGACGCCAGCTTCTGCCGAGCATTGTCCGGGGAGTCGGGGGGCCCGGGGGGCAATCTCATCAGCGGCAACAAGAATGGAATGTAGACTCTGAATATGCAGACAGTGCCCAGCAACGCTGGCATCCTGCAGGCCGGCAACGGAGTGCATGGTTGAGCTCGGGAAAAGCGGCGATGGCACTCGTCAGCATGCATGCATCAGCGCGCGGCAGCGCTTCAACTCCGCAGCGTCCGTAGGCTGAGATGTGTGTTTGACCTCCTCGACACCTTCAAACATGAGGCTCTTCGCAGCGGCGAGGCGGCCCCACCGGTCACCGTCGCGGCGAGCTCGTGTCCAAAATCTCCGAGCCCTCAGGGCGACGGGAAATCCAGGTGATCCTCTCGGGTGCCTCTTGAGGCCTGAATCCACGAAGAGAGAAAGACACCGGAAGATGATCAGAAATCACGTCAACCCGAAGCCTCCCAGTAATCTCACCAGACACAGTTGAGCCCCGAAGGTGGGCAGAGGAAATCGTGCTGCAAGTGCGGCTCAGACGAGCAGCTTGCACCAAGGTCCCATCCCGAACTCCCATGCGAGCGCTCCCCGATTGGTGCAGCTCCGCCCAGCTCCCACATCCTATGGAACAGTGCAACATGACCGTCGTCGCCAGGTGACCCCCCACGCCCATGCGCCTGCAGCTTGCCATCAGCAGAGAGAGAGAGAGAGAGAAAGAGAGAGAGCGAAGTTCCAATCGCCAGTGAAAACGGTAACGCGCAGGGCGGAGCCAGGAGGGCAGCTAGTCCATCACGGAGAGCACGCGTATAGATATAGACAATGTCGTTGGAGTTAGGCATGTGAACGCTCACCATGCAGAGATCTCCCTGGGGCCCCGAGAGATACGACTGCAATATCCGACCTTCAAAAACAGCACTATGGGCAATAGACTGGAAGGGCCTAGCAAGGCCATGCTGGACGCAAGTGGCCTCCCCACCTTCACGAGTATACCAAAATAGTAGAATGGACGATCCCATGGCGGCTCCGAAGTATGTAAACATCCTGAACCTGACCGTGAATTACCTGAACACAAAATGCAAATAGTTGCTTAGCGAGCTCCGGGAAGCACGCATAAGGAGAAGCTGGCTTCGTTCTGGTTGGTTGAGACACGGCAAACACAGCATGAGTACTCCACAAAACGATGTGAAACAATTGGGAAATGGACAGGCCCTGACCGAAACATGAGACAAGTTGGCAATTTCTGGGACTGAAGAGGAAGGGAAAAAACACATCTGCACACCAATCACGACTGGCAATGCTGGAACAGGATTTACGAGCAGGGCCAGAACGGCTCGCGACTGACGCATCACCCAGGCTCGTCATCACAGAGGTCGCTCCCATAGCCTGTGGCCTGCAAAGATCATGCTTAGAAGGGCCATGCGCTGTTCAAGTCAGCCACACTTTCCTCTATATGCTCAAACTAGTGGACAGAGCAGCACGTGAAAATCCTGAAACTGGTCCATACAGAAACGAACAGAAACAGAGGGAGCAGGGCCTTCAGCTATGCCAAGCTACAGGTGGCATATCAGAACTGGGGTCAAAGCATGGCGGAGGACGATGATGTCTCCACCAACCCCGTGGGAGCCCATCTCCTCCTTGTCGAGCGGAAGCACGGCCGCAGCGAGAGCTCCACGGATCACCCCCATGGACAGGAACAACAACCGGGTACCTTGCCCAAAGTCTCGCTTAACACGAGGAGTGCGCTCCTGCAGGGGGGGGGTCAGGAAGGACAGCGGGCGGCCGCGCGTTGAGCATGCTGAGGACGTCAGCGGGGTCTCAGGGCGTCAGCGCAGCCGTGGGAGGATTTTTTTGTCATGCCGAAGGCGCGCGGTCGGGCGCGCGCACGATCCCGTGCAGCACAACCCCGAATGCAGAGCTCCGCCGCGCGCTTCCGCCAGGTCAGCGTCACCTTCCGCGGGAAGCCACCCGAGGTCCGCACGGTGCGCACGCTCGCGTTGGCCTCGTGGCGCGGCCCGCGCGCACCTCCGGCGCGCTCCGCGCGCCGACCTCGACAAAGGGAGTGGAGGGAGGCGAAGGAGGCGACGTCGGACAGCTCCGCAACGAAACAAGCGCATCATCGACAGTGGCTAGCTCGGCCCCCGCCGCAGTCGCGGTGGTCTCCGTCCTGATTCTCCTCCTGGAGCGGTTGCATGTTACGATCTGCCGCTGGCAGGCGCCGACGGAGGCGCCCGAGCTTCCAGGGTGAGGTTCTGCTGCTGTGGGCTATCCTGCTGCTCTATTCCTGGATGTCGCCGACGAGCTGCGTCATCCACGAAGGCGGATGCGTCGGAGGGGGCGCACTGCTGAGCGGGTCACTGGCACGGCCCCGGGCCCGCATTCGATCAGACCCGCGGCTGTCAGAACTGGTGGTGGGCTCGTGTTCCACCGCCATCACCATAAGCAGGAGGGGGAGGGGGTCCTTCTCCTCCTCCTCTTCCTCCTCCTCCTCCTCATCATCCACCTCCTTCCCCCCTCCAAATTATGGTGGTGGTGGTGGTGGTGGAAAGGAGGCCCATCAACTGGAGGGACGGGACGAGCGGCGGCGGCTCGGGCTCACGTTGTACCTCGAAGGGGGCCCGCAGGACGGAGGCTGAGAGGATGAGGCCTGCTCATGCTCGGCCGTATGGGCCTTCGTGTCAAACTGGCGAACACCACGGCCAGCGCCAAGCATGACTGCAGGCGAAGCTGGGGCAATTCAAGTCGTGATGAAGAGGTGGAACAGCCTTGGCAGGTCTCCTGAACGAGGATCTTGCGGGTCCGAACCCCAGGGAAGGCGAAGGCCCCTAGCAACGGCCTGAGCCAAAATGGCTTGAGCCAAAATGGCTACGGACCTCCTCCTTCTCTGCTTTTCCGCCTCCTCATCCTCATCCTCATCCTCCTCCTTCTTCTCCTCCTCCGCTTCCCCATCCTACAAGCAAGATGGTCCCAGGAGGCTGGGCATGGCTCAAGACCTCTGAGAGGCAAGAGGCCACAATACAGCCTTAAGCTGACCCAAGATAGCTGAGCATGGCCCAAAATAGCCTCCGACAACCTCTAGCCGAGCTCTCTCAAGATAGCCTCCGATCGGCCGATCGGCCTCAAGAAAGCCTCCGATCGTGTCAAGATGGGCTGGTGGTAATGCGCGGAGCGTCAAGAACTCAAAACAGCCAACGGGGCCTCGAAGGGACGTACAGGACGGCCTCGGAGGCATCTGAGACGACGCTGCAGCCTTCCATCCATTCCCAAACCATTCCCCAAACGACCTCGAGGGTTCTGAAGAGGTCACAGCTCCCGAAAGAGGGCCCTAAGGCTGCAGAAGAGGCCCGAAATATCGAGAGGGGACCCCGTTGGCACGCGAGAACTTCCGAGCATACCGAAGAGGCTGTGGACAGACGTGCCAGGCGGAAACGAAGGGGGTGTAAGGCGGGGGGGGGGGGGGGCACTCCTCGACGGCGTCATGCTACACCATCGTGTGCGCACAAACTTCCGATCAACAGCAGAGCGGCGGGACCGTAATGAAACAACGCACAGTGGAGGCCAGTCGACAAGAAACCGTCCACAAGAAGCCCAACCCTGAGACCCCAGGACACCCAGTCATTGTTGGTGTGGGAGCGTCGCGCTCTCCATCGCAAAACCATCCAAATCCAAGAAATCCAGGGCACCCTGGAGGCAAGCAAGGTGTTTCTTGGCATGGGTCTCCACTGTATGCAAACCAAATTACACCAGAGAAAAACCCCAATCAAAAGATGGTTGATATGGGATCGATAAAAAGATCGATGAGATTGACTGGGAACCCGGGAATCCGGAACCCATCACCGCAAACGGCCCGGAACCAAGAACCAGGAGCCTGGGAACCCGGAACCGGGAACACAGCCTGCTACCAAAATCGGCGGGAAACTTTCGCCAAACGTTTCAACTTCCGCTAGGACCCCTTCAGTGCAAGCACTGATTTGGGCAAGAAGGCTCCCACATCCCCCGAGCATCGCGAAGGCTCCCTTCGATTCGCGGACTGGGGGCCAGTCAGCCGAAAAAAACGTTTGCGCCATCGGGGACGCCTGCCCCTGGGCGGCTAGAGCGTGTCCACCCCCGCGGGCGGCACGTGGCCGCCCTGGGACGGGCGTCCCATGTTGCGGAACAGCTTACAGTCAACCCGTATAGTAAGGATGCGCGATAAGGAGGCAAGGACCTTGGAGGGTCATTTCGAAGCTTTTCGAGCGGGTACGGCCAGAGAAAGTGGCCAAGGATGGGCCGAAGGGACAAGGATGCAAGGGCATCCTTAGGAAGTTTGCCCGTCCTTACTATGCGAGTTGACTGTATTGCATACCGCGCATCTTCCTCTAGTCCTCTCAGCCAACGGGCAGTTCCGATAAACATGAAGGACAAAAAGTGGTGCTGGCAAAGATCTCAAATGCTGACACCGCCGCGTCCCTGCACCGTCCGTCCTGCAGGCTCTCTCGTGGCCACTGGCGCCACGGGCGCAAACCACCACGCGAGCCCTCCCCCCCCGGGGATGCAAAAACGTGCAGCCTGCGCGTCCGCCAGCACGTGCAGAACGCCCTCGCACTCGCGGCACTCCACGCGCTCCTGGCAGCAACTGGCACGTAAGTAAGCTGCTGGGAGTGGTGTCGAGCGGGGGTCCAAAAACATGGAGCAACTGTCCAAACCATGTGACCGACATTGGGCTACGGCTGCCTCGCGGGTGAGGCACGGAGCGATCCTGGGCACATCGAGGCCCACATACTGCAACGGCGTACGCGTAGCGACGCGCAGACATGATGGCAATGAACTGTGGTCCAACATTGGCACACTTCGCAACTGCAGCTTACTCAGAAAGAAAAAGGGAGTACGACCGACTGCTGCCATTTTATCAGCAAGCGACGACTGCAGCGCACTCCCGAAATTGGTGGTACTGCATGTGCGCTGCCCGACTGCAAGTGGCAATGTTCGAGACGAGTGCCCTTCTCAGGCTCCTCCCACCTCCACCGCTTCCTTCCTCTTCTCCTCACTGCATCCTTCCCTCTTATGCTGCCTACGCCTCCTCTCATCTCTCCTGCCTCCGCCTCCTCTTCCTGCTCCTCCTCCTCCTCCCATGCTCCTGTTCTCCCCCTCTTGCCCCACTCGTGGGACCCCCTTAGAAAACTGTATACCCTCACGAAACCTCCTCCTCCTCCTACTCCGTCTTCTCCCGCACTCCCGTACCCTCACCCGCTGCGCTCCTCCCGAGCGGGCTGGGAGGAAAATGGATGGGACGGACGAGATCGGCGGGGGGGGGAGAACAGGGCCGGGAGGGAGGAGACGGGGGGCGGGGGAATACGTGAATCGAGGGGGAAATGTGAAGGGAATGGAAGATGGATACGTAGTCGCGGCTGGTGGGGCAAAAAGGAAATACACCGATACCGCTGCTCCCCGGACCTCGTCGAGGCGAATCCGGGTATGGCGAAGAGTACCTCCCCGGAGGCCCCACAAGGCGAAAACGAGGCAAGGCTCCTCCTCTGAGTGGGGTGGGGGCGGAGGGAGGGAGAGGAAGGCGAACCTCGCGTGCCAGGCAAAGACGGGGCGCACACCTTCCAGCCCGGGTGCACGGAGCTGGCGCGCTGTAGCACGGCGGCCTGGGCAGCGCTGGCAGAAGGCGGGGCTGGGTGACGACGGGCCGCCGGTCAAGACGACGCACAGGGACGAATCGGATGGGGTCAAACAGGGGATATTTACCTGAGATCCGGCGGTCCTGGAGGATGCACGCCCAGAAATGCCCGCGCCGCGCAAAAACCACGGCGGGAGATTTTTCTGGCCCTTTTTGGTGCCTGGGACCGTCAACAAACGACTCGGAGAGCAGTCCTGGCCCTGGGGAACGAAAGCGTCAGGACTTCGGGGGGCCGCGTGTTCAACAAGTCGAGTCCTCGGCCGGCCCAGAGCGCTTCGAAGGCTCTGAGAGCGCTCTGGAGAGCTCCGAGCCGTCGCCGTCCAAGAGCACGGACTCCAATCGAGCGGGGAAGGAACAGGACCGCAATGTTCAGCAATGCTTCGCGGCAGATCGGTAACTCGAATCGGAAGCGCAGGCGCCGACGGAAAGAGCATGAGATCTCCAGTGACCCACGCTGATTAGAAGTCACAGCGTCGGGGGTCTTGGAAGGTGGATGGGGGAGGGTAAGGGGGTGTTCGGGGATGGACAGACCCCCCTTTAGTAAAACGTGGTTTAGTGAAAACGACCTGAGGCCCAAACCTGGCGGGCGCAAGCCTGGAAAATAACGGCCACGGCGCCCTCTCGAGAACCGAAAACGGAAAATTCACTAATCGACGTGTCACTGTTGGGGGCTCTGTCCACCCCCGAGGTGTGGAGGTGGCCGGCCTCTCCCCGTAAGGCCGTCCACGGCGATATAGCATGACCGAAGACAGACGGAGCCGCCAGCGAAACCGAAGCCTACCGAAACTGATCGGCCGCGCGAAGCCTGGAGGGCGCAGCGGCGCAAGAACGACTCGACGACTTGCAGAACCGAACCGGCCGAGCGCCATCGGCTGCGACGCAGCCGATGCGAACGAACCATGGACGCTGGACAACCCTGCTCCCACAACCTCCCGACCTGCAGCCTCCCTCCCTCCCGTTTGCTGCTCTGGAGTCCGCTCCCTTGCCGCCCGTGCTCCTCCCACTCCTGCTCATGCTTGCGCTTCCGCCGATACGCTCACGCCAATGCTGTCCGCTGGTTCGTTGACATCGTCGTCGCCGTCGTCGTCCTCGTCGTCGTCTGTCGCTTCCTCACCATGCCACTGGGCTCACTTACGATGGTAAAAGAGTATTCGATGGCTCGCTCCCATGACTGGCAACACGACTGTTCGAATCAAAGCAGACGGCTCCAAACTACATCGCGATCGATAGTGCTCAGAAGACGGTACGATGTCCATGAGTTCCTGTCGCCCAACGCCGCCGTCGCACGCTGATCGCGCGGGTGCACCTGTAGTCTCAGCTCTGGGGCCTAAACAACATCAAAGAAATGGGTATCTGATCGTCGACGACAGAGCGCAACCGCGGAGGCGCACGCCGCTTCTGAAAGCAGCAAGGTGCCACACACGCACACACGCACACACCGCAGGACGCATGAGCGACGACCAGATAGGGGTCTTGTGCACGACGGTGCGACGACCTTTCGAGGGTGCATTGCGCATGCCACCGGCGCGGCACGCGCAACAACGTTTGAAGAACGAGGGCACCTGCGCGAGAACTCACGCGGGCACCTGACGATGGCAGACTGCCTGCGTGCGAATGTTCGCGCCCATAGCCATCGGTCGGAAGAAGTAGGTAGACACATGAAGTAGGAAGGCGTTGAACATAGATTGGGTGTCCGCCCGCCCCCTAAGGATGACGGAACAGTGTGAAGCCAATCGACAATTGAAGTAGCAAGGCGCCTGAAGTGGATTGGAATCTGGGAATCCAAGAATACTCGCTTTCAACGACCGATGGGTAGTGCAGCAGCCAGAGGCTTGGAAGACATGCGGACATGCGGGCCCCGTTAACTCAGCAGCGGGCTCGGCCTTCCCTCGGCGGGCAGGGCACCATGAACGGCTGCGCCACCGGGTGCGCCTGCCCCAGAGGGCGGCTGGGAAGATTTCTGCACCCACTGTGGCAGGCGGGTGTGTAAACGCTCCAGCCGCTTCTGGATGGGGACCCCTGTGGCAGGACAAGAGAGATGCCCACCTGCGTAGAGGATCGTAGGCTCCTGCCCGGACGGCGCGGGCTCCGGCTCCTGACGCCACGCGAGCCGCCCAATCCTGAGAGCGACCTCCACTCTTCGGGCAGGCGCCCCGAGAATCGAGCCGATACGTCGGATCGGCGATCGAAATGAATCGGATCGGCGGAAATCGGCAGCCCAGTCGGGAAAAGTCGAATCGGCAGAGGTCGGCAGGCTTGGGGGCCTCCACTACGAGGTCGGAGCCCACATCGGAATCCGGAGTCGAATCACATCGGCATCGGGAGCCATCGAAACCGAATCGAACTGGATCGCAAGACTCGAAATGAGCCCTGTTCGGGGTCCCGCGGAGGCTGCAGAGCTTGCCGTCGCTCGGACGTCCATTTCTTCCCGTGCATTCGTCGGTTTCGTGCGTGTTTTTTCCCAACCATCCTGTGGTGTTGGGTCCTCGTTTTGAAGAGACAGCGCCCCGCGTCCCACCTCCTCTGCTCCTCCTCCTCTCCTCCTGCCGTCCGCATGCGTCCCGCACACCCATTTCGGCACACCCCTCACACGTTTCGTGGCCCCATAGGGAGCTCCACCGAAGGCCCCATGGCTGCCGTCCGCATGCGTCCCGCACACCAATTTCGGCACACCCCTCACACGTTTCGTGGCCCCACAGGGAGCTCCACCGAAGGCCCCAGTGCTGCCGTCCGCATGCGTCCCGCACACCCATTTCGGCACACCCCTCACACGTTTCGTGGCCCCACAGGGAGCTCCACCGAAGGCCCCATGGCTGCCGTCCGCATGCGTCCCGCACACCCATTTCGGCACACCCCTCACACGTTTCGTGGCCCCACAGGGAGCTCCACCGCCCCAGTGCTGCCGTCCGCATGCGGCACACCCAGTCACACCCGCTCCGCATGCCGCGCACCGCACCCATTTCGGCACGTTTCGTGGCCCCACCCCTCACACGTTTCGTGGCCCCACGTTTCGTAGGGAGCTCCACCGAAGGCCCCATGGCTGCCGTCCGCATGCGTCCCGCACACCCATTTCGGCACACCCCTCACACGTTTCGTGGCCCCACAGGGAGCTCCACCGAAGGCCCCAGTGCTGCCGTCCGCATGCGTCCCGCACACCCATTTCGGCACACCCCTCACACGTTTCGTGGCCCCATAGGGAGCTCCACCGAAGGCCCCATGGCTGCCGTCCGCATGCGTCCCGCACACCCATTTCGGCACACCCCTCACACGTTTCGTGGCCCCACAGGGAGCTCCACCGAAGGCCCCAGTGCTGCCGTCCGCATGCGTCCCGCACACCCATTTCGGCACACCCCTCACACGTTTCGTGGCCCCACAGGGAGCTCCACCGAAGGCCCCAGTGCTGCCGTCCGCATGCGTCCCGCACACCCATTTCGGCACACCCCTCACACGTTTCGTGGCCCCATAGGGAGCTCCACCGAAGGCCCCATGGCTGCCGTCCGCATGCGTCCCGCACACCCATTTCGGCACACCCCTCACACGTTTCGTGGCCCCATAGGGAGCTCCACCGAAGGCCCCAGTCCGCATGCGTCCCGCACACCCATTTCGGCACACCCCTCACACGTTTCGTGGCCCCATAGGGAGCTCCACCGAAGGCCCCAGTGCTGCCGTCCGCATGCGTCCCGCACACCCATTTCGGCACACCCCTCACACGCACGGCACACCCAGGGAGCTCCACCGAAGGCCCCATGGCTGCCGTCCGCATGCGTCCCGCACACCATTTCGGCACACCCCTCACACGTTTCGTAGGGAGCTCCACCGAAGGCCCCCTGCCGTCCGCATGCGTCCCGCACCCATTTCGGCTCACACGTTTCGTGGCCCCAGCTCCACCCCATGGCTGCCGTCCGCATGCGTCCCGCACACCCATTTCGGCACACCCCTCACACGTTTCGTGGCCCCACAGGGAGCTCCACCGAAGGCCCCATGGCTGCCGTCCGCATGCGTCCCGCACACCCATTTCGGCACACCCCTCACACGTTTCGTGGCCCCACAGGGAGCTCCACCGAAGGCCCCAGTGCTGCCGTCCGCATGCGTCCCGCACACCAGGTGTGTGGCGTGCCGACATGGGCGTCGCGGCGCGCGGGCGCTGCCGTCGGGGTTCCCAGGGAAGCCCCCTGCAGAGGCGACGCTCAGAGTCACGAGTACCGAGAGTCACGCAGACCCAAACTGTTCACAGTCGTATACATACATTTACACTGGGCGTATCCATGCACGCATTCATGCGAATAGAATCAATCGCGCGCAGATTCATTCATAATCAGACTCGCTCGCGATCCGACTCGCACGCGCTCAAGCTTTCATATTCGGACCTATCGTCTTCGTTCGTGTTGTGTACACTGCCACGCATTTCGGCACACCCCTCATACGGCTCGTGGCCCCATAGGGAGCGCCACCGAAGAAGATATTCACAATTGCGGTACTCTCAACTGCATATGGTTGGGTCCTTCGCCAGGCTAATTGTTGCTCGATGGTCCAGGATGGTCCTCGATGGCTCTCGCCGAGAAAACATGCACACGTCCGAGCGATGCCAAGAGAGGCCCCCGCCCCCCTGCCGCAGATCTCACGCCGGGGGGCCCCTCCCTGTGGGCCCCGGGGGCCCGCGACGGGCCCCCGGGAGGGCGTGCAGCCTCGAACGCCCGCACCCCGAGGAGGAGAAGGAGGAGGAGGAGGAGGAGGAGGAGGAGGAGGAGGGAGAGGAGGGCGAGGAGGGCGAGGAGGACGAGGAGGGCGGAGGGCGAGGAGGGCGAGGAGGTCGCCGTCGCGTCGCGTCGAGGCGGCGCGGACAGGAGGGTCAACGATAGGGGGGGGAGGGGGACTGGGCCAGAGGGGAACAAGACATTTGCCTGGAGTCGGAACACACCTCGCCGACAGGGCGGCAACAGGCCCCCCGTCACAAGTCCGCACGCTCCTCGGCGGGGTGGGCTGCCGGGCCCCTGCCTGCGGTGAGCGGGCGATGGGGGGCCGACGTGTCCCTCCACCCCTGAGCTCTGAGCCGATCGACCCCGCACATTGCCCCCGGGAGACGTGCCCTCGAGGGGGCGTCTGACCTTCGCGAGCCCAGGGTTCGCTTGGGACCAGCTTCCCCCCCCAAACGGCGAATACAAGCAAAACAGAACAACAACAACAACAGCAGCAAGACAAACAACAACCACAACAACAAAACAAAACAAAACAAAACAAACCCAAACAACCCAAAACACAACAAAACAGCACAACACAACACAACACAAACAAGCAAACAAACAAACAAACAAACAAACACACAAACACACAAACAAACAACAACAACAACAACAACAACAACAGCAACAACAACAACACCAACACCAACAACACCAACACCAACATCAACCAAACAACAACAACAACAACATCAACAACAGCAACAACAACAACACCAACAACAACAACAACACCACCAACAGCAACAGCAACAACACCAACACCAACAACAAAAACAACAACAACACCACCAACAGCAACAAAACCACCACCAACAACAACACCAACAACATCAACAACCACAACAACCACAACACCACCAACAACAACACCACCAACAACAGCAAACCCAACAACAACCACAACAACACCAGCAACACCAACAACAACACACAACAACCACAACAACAACAACACCAACAACATTAACAACGACAACACCAACAACAACAACAACAACAACAACAACAGCAACAGCACCAGCAACAGCAACAGCAACAACAACACCAACACCAACAACAACACCAACAACAACAACCACACAAAAACACCAACAACAACAACAACAACACCAACAACACCAACAACAGCAGCAACAACAACAACAACAACAACAACAATCATTTTACCCGAACGCTCAGTGTTCTCACCAGTGCCAGGGTTTTCATGCGACGCGAGACAATACCCCCACTTCGTGGGGGGGCAGTTCAAGCTCTACCAAATATCCAAACGACTCTTCGCGACCACCCAAACCCAGCTTCCCGCCCTATGACGTTGGGACACTTCACTTCGTGGCGTGCGGACGACCGTGGCTACTACACTGGCGTGGGGTACACACCCACAGAACTTGGTCACTTATTCGGGGCGCGCGTGTGCCCAGCATCCTGCAATTGTGACATACAATACATGACACAGACAGACAGAGAGAGAGACAGAGAGCAGACAGAGAGAGAGACAGAGAGAGCGGAGTTGGTCACATTTTTGGGGCAAGTTCCTGAGATCGTCGTGTTTTTTGTTGGTCTTGCGCGCGCGAATGTCCACTTTACTTTTTTTTTGCAAGGGATGTTGAAATTTGATTATGTAAGAACAAGAAAAAGTAGCTCGCGCGAGCTTATGTAACATAAATGTTGAAAAACCATTGGTTTTGTGGGAGTCGGACAGCGCGCGCGGGATGAAATTTGGACATTTTTTTTTGAAAAACCATTGGCTTTTTGATGTTTTTATGTTGAAATCGTTACGAAACCTAAGGTTCTGGAAGGATTTCGTCTTGCGCGCGCGAATGTCCACTTTACCTTATTTTTTGCAAGGGATTATTGAAATTTGATTATGTTAGAACAAGAAAAAGTAGCTCGCGCGAGCTCATGTAACATAAATGTTGAAAAACCATTGGTTTTGTGGGATTCGGACAGCGCGCGCGGAAGGACATTTTGACAATTTTTTCTTAAAAAACCATTGGGTTTTTGATGTTTTTATGTTAAAATCGCTACGAAACCTAAGGTTTTGGAAGGATTTCGTCTTGCGCGCACGAATGTCCACTTTACCTTATTTTTTGCAAGGGATTCTTGCAATTTGATCAAGTAAGAACAAGAATTTTCATTTTCTATTGTTTTTTGCAAGGGAAAACGAGCGTCAACAAAAAACCGGATCCGGTACCAATCGTTTTGCCTGAGACTTCCTCACGAAAATGATGAAAATGTGGCTGCGGCCTAGGCGCGGCGGGGGGGTCGCGCACCAGGGGTCCCAACAATAATTATTCTTAAGAAGAAATAATGTTCAACAACAACTCCTGGAACCCGTCGGGGAGGGTTTCGGTGAGGCGTCCCGCTTTTGAGAGGAAGCCCGTCCCTGGCGATCCTCTAACTTCTTAAGTCTAACCTTGAACGCCCACAAGGGCGTCGCCGCCGCGTCAGCGCGACGCGGGCCTGCCGAAAACCGACCCCATGGGCTGACCTGCTCCCCGCTCCGCCCGGGGCGCACCAGGGCGCTCTCGAAGCCCTGCTTCTCCTCTGCGAGCGCGGCGTTGTCGAAGCAGCTGGCCAGGACAGCCTCCGGCGCGGTCGCTGAAATGATCGCGCCCCCGCTCATCACATCGCGGCCGGCGACGCCGAGGTCGGAGGAAGGATGGTCACACATCGGGCCAGGGATGGTGCTGGCACTGGGCGTTTCGGGGCGGCTTCGCGGGATATCAAGCACGTCCGTATCCCTCGAACCATCAAGTCCTGGCTTGTGAGGAAACGCAGGTGCATTTCCGCCTACCCGCGCACGCTCCCAATCAACAAATCCTAGTAGCGAGCTCGGACCACACACGCAGAACTGAAAACGAGTCAGTCGCAAGACTCCTTCCCCTCAATCGTCTCCGATCCTGCCTGTGTACTACTGGGCCTCTCTGGAAGATGCTGCCAAGATGGCCCCCTGGCCTCTGCGAGGCGCGATGGGCACCGCACGCGGAGCTGTGACATACGAGGCGCCACCTCCGCGCCCTCCTGCGCGTCTGCCTCCACCCCGACCTCCTCCTTCGCCCTCTTTCCGTCCCACTCCTTCGCCTTGACCCCCTCCTCCTCCGCCTCCTCCTCCTTTGCTTCCATTTCCTCCTCCTCCTCCTCCTCCTCCTCCTGCCTCCGCCTCTGCCCCTCTTTCCTTCCTTCGCCCCCCCCCCCCGCTTTCATGCCCCACGGTGGGCGCCGCGCGTCCGCCCTCCTCCGCCCCGCGGGAAGAGAATGCAATGTAAACCGTAGGGTGGAAGCGATGCTGTTTGTGTGAAGCGGCTGCACAGCAAGGTGTCTGAAACGACTGTAATGCGGGCGCGGCACGGTGCCTTGAGACAAAAGGAAGCCAACAAAAGGTTCGTCCCTGCAACCCCGTCGGAGTCTGGTGTTCACGCGGGTCCGTCGTGTCGTTGGTAGCCCGGAGGCAATACGTCGCGACGGCCAACAAAAAACAACGAAGAAACCATGGACAGTTGCGGCAACTGCCGGACGAAGCCAACAAGCCACAACGGGCAAACAAGCATTACAATGGCAGCAGACAGCTGGCAGCGCAAACAAACTGACAACTCACCTGCTGCCTCTCGAACACGGCTCGAGACGACCACCGACCAATCACAGATTGACTGCGTCGCCTTCGCAAACACAATTCACGACATGCGAGTTTACGCGGTTCTCTCCCTCTCTGAGAAGGAACAGTATTGCAGCCGAGGTACCTGTAGTAGATACTAGATAGCTGGCGGCCGCGTCGCATTCGCGATCACAGTTCGCGCCGTGCCCCTCTGACGTTTTATTCGCGAACGCAGTTGGGGAAACGCAGCGAAAGGTAACTTGGCCTGCGTTGTCGATATCCTCGTTCAAGTCGTTGCGATGTAAGCTCGGCGCCGCTTTCTTGTGCAACTCCCCGCCCAACCGCACCGTCGGTTGTGCGTGGGCGGGCTTCCCATCCATGGTGCTGAGGGTGAATTCCTGGATGGTAATTCCCTACGTAACGGGGTCGGCTTTCATGTCGCGGGTGTCGCACCGCAGCATGTCGGATAATTGTTTGGTGCGCAGCAGGTTTGCCAGCCACCGTTGGTGGCCTGTCATGCCCTTCTCTGATAGCATCGGTGGTCTGCCAGCCACCATTGGTGGTCTGCCAGCCACCATTGGTGGCGCGTGGTCCATGGTCAGGGCCGAAAAATTAGCCTGGCGAAGGACCCAACCATATGCAGCTGCGAGTACCGCGCGGATATGAGACGAAGGAACGCAGCGAAAGGTAACTTGGCCTGCGTTGTCGATATCCTCGTTCAAGTCGTTGCGATGTAAGCTCGGCGCCGCTTTCTTGTGCAACTCCCCGCCCAACCGCACCGTCGGTTGTGCGTGGGCGGGCTTCCCATCCATGGTGCTGAGGGTGAATTCCTGGATGGTAATTCCCTACGTAACGGGGTCGGCTTTCATGTCGCGGGTGTCGCACCGCAGCATGTCGGATAATTGTTTGGTGCGCAGCAGGTTTGCCAGCCACCGTTGGTGGCCTGTCATGCCCTTCTCTGATAGCATCGGTGGTCTGCCAGCCACCATTGGTGGTCTGCCAGCCACCATTGGTGGCGCGTGGTCCATGGTCAGGGCCGAAAAATTAGCCTGGCGAAGGACCCAACCATATGCAGCTGCGAGTACCGCGCGGATATGAGACGAAGGAGGGGGCACGCAAACTAGGCCCCTCTTCTCATAGGCACCGCGCCACTGGGGCCTTCGGTGGAGTTCCCTATGGGGCCACGAAACGTGTGAAGGGTGTGCCGAAATGGGTGGTGGGGAGGCATGCGGACCCTGCCACTGGGGCCTTCGGTGGAGCTCCCTATGGGGCCACGAAACGTGTGAGGGGTGTGCCGAAATGGGTGGTGGGGAGGCATGCGAACGCAGCCACTGGGGCCTTCGGTGGAGCTCCCTAGCCACGAAGCGTGTGAGGGGTGTGCCGCCATCGGTGGAGCTCCCTATGGGGCCACGAAACGTGTGAGGGGTGTGCCGAAATGGGTGGTGGGGAGGCATGCGAACGCAGCCACTGGGGCCTTCGGTGGAGCTCCCTATGGGGCCACGAAACGTGTGAGGGGTGTGCCGAAATGGGTGGTGGGGAGGCATGCGAACGCAGCCACTGGGGCCTTCGGTGGAGCTCCCTATGGGGCCACGAAACGTGTGAGGGGTGTGCCGAAATGGGTGGTGGGGAGGCATGCGAACGCAGCCACTGGGGCCTTCGGTGGAGCTCCCTATGGGGCCACGAAACGTGTGAGGGGTGTGCCGAAATGGGTGGTGGGGAGGCATGCGAACGCAGCCACTGGGGCCTTCGGTGGAGCTCCCTATGGGGCCACGAAGCGTGTGAGGGGTGTGCCCAAATGGGCGGTGGGAGGCATGCGAACGCAGCCACTGGGGCCTTCGGTGGAGCTCCCTATGGGGCCACGAAACGTGTGATGGGTGTGCCGAAATGGGTGGTGGGGAGGCATGCGAACGCAGCCACTGGGGCCTTCGGTGGAGATCCCTATGGGGCCACAAACGTGTGAGGGGTGTGCCGAAATAGGTGGTGGGGGGGGCATGCGAACGCAGCCATTGGGGCCCTTCAGTGGAGCCCCCTATGGGGCCACGAAACGTGTGAGGGGTGTGCCGAAATGGGTGGTGGGGAGGCATGCGACCGCAACCAGTGGGGCCTTCGGTGGAGCCCCCCTATGGGTGCCGAAATGGGTGGTGGGGAGGCATGCGAACGCAGCCACTGGGGCCTTCGGTGGAGCTCCCTATGGGGCCACGAAACGTGTGAGGGGTGTGCCGAAATTGGTGGTGGGGGGGCATGCGAACGCAGCCATTGGGGCCATCGGTGGAGCTCCCTATGGGGCCACGAAGCGTGTGAGGGGTGTGCCGAAATGGGTGGTGGGGAGGCATGCGAACCCTGGAGGGAGGAGGGCGAGGAGAAGGAGGAGGAGGAGGAGGAGGAGGAGGACAAGGAACGCGGGGACCGATTCTTCAAAACGAGGACCCAACACCACAGGATGGTTGGGACAAAAACAGACATGCCGCCACGACGACGAGGTCGGCCAGCGCAGCGTCGCCTCCCTCCTCCCTCAACCTCCCGATCTCAACTGCTGAAGCGGGTCCGCACACCATCTCGGGGAGCATCATGGCGTGCGCCTGTAGGCCGTCTGCTGCTCCACATGCTGCGAGCAGCTCGGAGACGAAGGGAGATCCACACACACAAGTTTGCGCGATCGGCTCGCGGCGTCGATCAAGTGGCGAATATGTTTACCAATACTGCGACACTTGCCCAAACGCATGTATACGGAGCCAACCATGCCGCATCCTGCCTTCTCCTCACGATTGGACGAAACGTCGCTGCGTGCGCAGATCTGGCCCGCGCACTCCATCGCAGGAAAGACGACGCGCGCCTTGATGTTCTGCATGGCCAGAACAACGAACATGAACTGCATCGCATGCTGGATGAGCAGTTTGTTCCTGGCTCGTTGCAGCGCGACGATGTAGACGGCGGCGTGGCATTGCGCGACCAGCGCATACGCGGCTGCTCCGAGGAGGGAGGTAGAGAGGTTCGGGAGTGGACCTTCGGCCGGATCGTCGGCCTTCGACTTGACTAAGCGAACGTGCCTGATATTGAGATCCGCGCGTCGGTGTACTTGTCTTGGCCAAGCGCCACTGCACCATCGGAGCTGCGGTTTTGGTGGACACCGCACCTGGTGAAATCGTCGCAATCACTTTGCATTTTGCCGAAAACGCCCTCGATGTGACCAATCAAAGTCTACGTGCTCCTTGCGCCCAACGATCTTCAAGTCGTCGACGTGCTTGAGCATAATGAGCAATACCTCTAAGAGAACCGCCCGCATTACACGTGCCGGAAGACTCGTGTTCTTGCACGGGCGCATCTTTGCATCCTTGCCAGGCTTGATGCAATGCAGCCACTCGGACCGCTTCTCGAAGTACTCGTAACCTTGCACGAGTAGACGCGCGTCTCTGGATTTCCGGGGAAAAGCGCACCCAGGGGCCATGCCCGAGGCACGGCTGAATTAGGCCGCCCATGGGGGCGTCACTTAAATTTTGCCCGCGTCGTTTAAACTTGCGCAAATATCGAGAAAACCCGGTTGCGAAAGTTCCTGTTTTTCTGGGAATTGGCTTCGTTCTTGTAAGACATTGCCGCGCGAGCGTCGCCACACCATAACGGTACGACTGCGCACGCGGAGCTGTATCAAATGCGTTCGCCACACACATGGCGCTCGCGTGTGACGCCGTTGCACACGCACAATCGCGCCGCCATGCTGCGCCCAAACTCGCGCAGAAATGTTCCGTGAGCACGATCCTATATGTTATGCATAAGAGGGCTTTCATGTCCACTCACAACGGTTACATCAGACAGAAGAAGCATCGTACGCGGCTCCATGGAGGCCCAGTGCGCATGCACCTCGGGGGGGTGCCACAGGGTGCGTCCACGCGCAGCCATGCGAGTGAAGAAATACATGCGTGACGCGCCAATTGCATTGCGGGTGTCCGTTGGGGTTCGGCCTCTGGAGTGCCTTTTCGAGCCCCGGGCCCGTCGGAACGTCGGCCCAGGAGGAGCACCTGGGCCACATGGGCACCAAGACGATTAGAAGACTGATCTTGAACGGCTCTTCCTCTTCGAGGGGTCGGAAAGGGGGTCCTCGCCGAGGATCGAACTTTTCTGTTCTTGCCTCGTCCCCAGAGGTTTCCAGTGACCTCCTGGGTCCCACTCCCCAATCAAACAACGATAATGCATACATGTTCGTGGACTGTGCTATGATAAAGACGTGACGGAAAGAAAACGGTAAAACGATACGCCATGCTAAGAAGATAAAGCGAGGTGCGATACCTGGAACCGAACGCACCTCAAGGCCACCCACAGACGTAGAGGTCGGGTCATCTCGCACCGTGAGCCATGCAATCGCTACCTGTGCGGATCTGGACGAAATGCAGAGAGGCACGTAGCAGGGCACAACCCCTTCATGCATCGGCCACTTATCCCACTCTGCACCATCAACTCTCATCGTCGGCAGTCCCACCTCGAGCCACGTGGCCCACTGGAGCCAGCCCACTGTGCGCACGAGCCACACGATGGTGCCGATGCTCTGCACATCATGCGCACACGATGAGAAATCTTGCTCCAACAAATGCAGTGCAAATCCGCCAAGGTGCCTCAGGGCTTTACGGCCCCATCGGGAGATGAACACATCACCGTGGGACGCCCGTTGGCAGACCAACTTCTTCTTTGGTGTGCCTACGGTAGCCGCAGATCTTGAGACGCCTGCGCTCCTCGCCGTCGTCGTCTTCGACGGAGATTCGATGGTCGAAATGTTTTAATGTCCCCGGCCTTTGGCGCGTCGGACGGCGCTCTCGCGGCCACGGTTGGATTCGAGAATCTGGCAAGCACGCCCCCCAGGAGAGGTCCTGACCCCTCACCCCTGGTTCTACACTGCCCGAGCCAAGTCGGAGGAGCTCCTGCCAAAGGAGCAAACCACGCGCCGCCAGCCTTGTCGCTGACCCGCGCGATCGCCAGGAACGCCACGTTCTCACCACTTTCCGCCATCGCCCCTGCCAAAGCAACAAACACATACCAAACAATTTGGCTGCACATGGCAATTGACATATACGTCACATTGGACATCAACCCATGCCAATATTGGTAACAATAGCTGGATGCCTACTCCAAAGATCCACTGGCAAGAACCCCATTGCATTACCTTTGAGCCGCCGTGAGGCCAACACTAGAGTTAGGTCGGGCATGTCCTCCTACAGGCGGATTTGGGACGACGGACAAGGCTCAAAACATATCCAGCACATATGCAACAGTAGTCAAACCATCGTCCCCAGAGTATTGTTTTACCATGTTGAACATGTTCCTGCTGTGGAGGGACAAGCCCGACTTCACACTAGAGAGAGCACGTGCTCCACATCCAAATCGCTGCGCGCGACGTGGAGATACCGCAGGAGAGATGCACGAGAGTCGGACAACAGGGGGGGGGCAGAGGGGGATGGGACGCGGAGGGTGAGCAGGAAGAGGAACGAGGCGCAGCGGCATGATGAGCACGCAAGGGAGAGGAGGAACAGGAGCAGCATCATGAGCGTGAAGAGCAGCAACAGCGCGATTGCCAGGCGGGAAGAGGAGGAGAGCAATCGCATGAGCGTGAGCAGCACCAGGAGACGCAGAAGGAGCAAGGAGCGCACGGCTCCGCACCCGCCAACGGCCGCCCCCCGCTTGCGCCCGCGCCCACGCTTGCGATCGGAAGAGTTTGACATACTGGTCAGAAGTCAACCGACTAATTACCCTGCGGCGTCAATTCATTTGCATCACGTGGCCCGAGCTGTTGGCCAAGACCGTACTGGATGATTCAAGAACTGTCACGTGTTGTGCAAACAGCATGGGGTGACTGCACGTTGCATGATTCACAGGACAAAGACCAAGAGCCCTCGAAAGTGGCGCCGGTTGCGCAGTTCGCCTCTACGGAATCACCCAGGAACCCACGACGAGTGACGCCAAACGCGCAGTTCGCAGCCCCGCGGGGAGGGCGATGTTTCGTTTGGACCCCCGTATAACGCCACTCAACGGGACCGCCCAGGAGCCCACGACGAGTTGCACCACTTGCGCGGTTCGCAGACCCGCGGGGAGGCAGGAGGAGAGAAGAGGCGGGCGGAAGGAAACAGGAGACGCGCGAACAGTGCACGGGTTCTTTGTTCAAGACGAGAACCCTACTCAGGAGGGTTGGGATGTAACAAAGCAGGATGCAGAAGGGGAGAGGAGGTCACGAGGAGGAGAAGGATGAGGACGAGGTGAATGCGGGAATGGAAGACACACTGACCCACTGCTCTCTTCAAAGCGAAGACGAAGCCAGAGGGAGGGCTGGGAAACAGACGCGCGTTCAATTACGTACCATGGGAAAGGTGGCCGAAGCAGCTGGGCTCCTGAGCGTAGCGGCCGAGGTCGTGGCGCGCGACTCTATTCACAGTCCTTCCATCTGCCCCCTCCCCTCCCCCTCCCCCTCCCCGTCCTCCCCTCCTCCGTTTCCCTCCCCTCCCCCTCCCCCTCCTCCCCTCCCCCTTCCATCTGCCCCCTCCCCTTTCCCTCCCCCTCCTCCCCCCCCTCCCCTGCCCTCCCCTCCCCTCTTCCGTTTCCCTTCCCCCTCCCCTCCTCTCCCCTTCTCCCTCCCGCGACCTGCGCAGGTCTGCAGTCTGGCTGCCTCTCCTCGCTTGTCGCTTCTGGCTGCCACGCATGCAGTCTTGCTCACGCGTCTGCTTGACGCACGGCTTCAGCCAGCCAGCCATCAGGAGGGAGGAAGTGATGGGCCTGTTCTCCACCACCACCATACGTTGGAGGGGGCAAGGAGGTGGAGGACGAGGATGAGGAGGAGGAGGAGGAGGAGGAGGAGGAGGAGGAGGAGGATCCCCTCCACCCCCCAACTTGTGGTGGTGGTGGTGGAGAACAGGTCCTCGGGAAGGGGCCGTGCATTGTCGCTCGCCTCCTCTGGGTGGAGGAGGAGGAGGAGGTCGTCCCCGGACGCGCAGACGCGCCCCAAGATGAAGAGCCCGGGGGTCCTGCTGGGACCCCGCTCGTCCCCCGGGCTGCGGCGCCGCTGCACGCTGCTGCTCGCCTGCATCATGCCGGGACCGAGGGTCGGGCTCCCGCTTCCCCTTGGCTCCTCGCCTCTGGTCACTGCCCCAGCTCTGCGGGCGTTCCAGGCTTACAGTGCCGTTGTTTAATACATGCTCCGCGTGCGGATCATGTATTAACCATGCAGGGTTTAGTATTAAAAACAACGCTGAGTTCATGCATACATTTATTCATACATTAATCATGTATTAAAAATCCTATATGCTTTCAAATCCTATGGATTAAAAACTGCCCTGTACTCCAAAATCCCTTGAGACCCTGAGATCCGGGCATCAACTGGCAGAGTGGACGCAATGCTTCCCGGCGGCTCCCCTTCGACATGGAGGTCGAGGAGGGAGGCACATACACTTCTGGTGATGCAGTTCTGTCATCCCTGGTTCAGAAACTGCTTCCTCTCCTCCTCCTCCTCCTCCTCCTCCTCCTCCTCCTCCTCCTCCTCCCCGCCGTCGCGGCCAGAATTCTGTGCCAAAGCGCTTCCCACTTACTGAAGCTCCCTCTCGTCCTCGTCCACCACAGTCGTCGTCGAGACCTTCAAAATGTTTTTCCTCCTCCTCCCGCCTCTTGCTTCTGCTAATGCTTCTTCTGACCCAGATCGCCCGCCAGCCTCAAGCAGCTGGGAGGCTTGGGCGATCACCGCATCTCAGAGCCGTTTAAAGGGCGTTGGGGCAACGATCACATGCACGGTTGAAGTGGAAGTGCTCACAAGAAGACCACGTAACATTTGTGAATACGGTGTCAACTAGTTCTGCAATGATTTGGGATCGGTGCCAGGAGAATGGCGGCCAAAGGCACACAGATTCCCCTCGTCACGCGAGCACACGAGTGGCACATACAGCGTCGAGGAGCCTTCCCTCTCCCCCCACCGCCCCCCTCCCCATCCCCCCTCCAGCTCCGTGCACTCTTGGAGACTGCTTCATTCCCTGTGGATAACACGTGTGGAAACGTGGGTCAGGGGAGGGGGGGGGGTACCGGTACCGGAGGCGACCGGGGGGGGGGGGGGGGGGGGGGGCACCAGAACAGCACGAGTAGCAGCAGGAGCAGGAAAGATGAGGAGCAGGTCAGGAGGAGCAGGTAACAGGAGGAGCTGTAGGAGGAATACATCACAGGAAGCAAGACCAAATGCACCAGGAGGCGCAGCACAAGGAGCCGCAGCAGCAGCAGCCGAATAAGGAGGAAGAGCAGCCGCAGCTGAATGAGGAGAATCGCCGGAACATCACGGGCACCAGGAGCAGCAGCAGCGCGGGGGAGGAACAGGCCAGAGGAGCAGCAGGAGGAGCAAGGGGGAGGAGGAGCAGCAGCAGCAGGAGCAGCAGCAGCAGGAGCAGCCCGAGGAGCCACGGGAACGGCCGCGGCAGCCACAGAGCCAGCAAGGGGAGCAAACAGGAAGGAGCAGCAGGGCCAGGGACGAGCGGCAGGATCGGGGAGGAGGAGGAGCAGCCGCAGGAGCAGCGGGAGGAACAGCAGCAGCTGCAGCATGAGCCTCCTCCTCCTCCTCCTCCTCCTCCTCCCTCACCGTCCTGTTCCTCCTCCTCCTCATCATCCTCCTCCTCCTCCTCCTCAGCAGCAGAAGAGCATCAGGATGAGCAGCATGAGGAACAGCAGAAGAGCAAGAAGATCAGCAGGAAGAGCACGGGAGGGGGTGCACCAGAGGATATATCAGACACCTACACTGGCATGCATCCACTTCGCTAACAACATCGAACGCCCTAGGACCGACTTAACAGTCGCGACGTTCGGTTAACCTGCCCGCCCTTAAATTCCAAGAGATCGACACCCCAAACGAACTACTGAAAATCTCACACGTGAAACCCTCACAAGCGAGCAGCGGACCTCCCGAGACTACCCCCGAAACCACAGTCATTGCGACTTCGCACTGCCGAGGTCCCCGCACGCCCGACAGGAGAAGGAGAAGGAGGAGAAAGAGGAGGGTGAGGAGGAGAAGGAGAAGGAGGAGGAGGGGGAGAAGGAGGAGGAGGAGGAACACCCGACAGCGGCCTCTGTTTGGCAGGCGGCCTTCTATCTCACGTGGACAACTTCCGCGGCGACGCCGACAGCGAGTCCTGTTCCAAATGGACAAGCATTGCGGTCAGTCTTCGTACGCATTCCTCCTGTACCCATTTCGATCGTCTCGAAACTGGGTGCCCGATAAACGTCTCCCGCAGGCGACCTGACCGGCCGCCCATCGCGGGCATGAACTGAGGGTCCCAACACTGTGCGGGACCAAATCGTGTAGTGACCTCGCAATCCCCAACGACCTCACCGCGTGGCACGTCACGGCACGGTGGTGGGACCCTGGAGGCCCCAGTCGCCCGAGACATCCCCGAGGAGCGGTGCACGGCGGCCTGCCGTGCTCCTCGAACTGTGAATACAGAGCTGGAGAGAAAGGCTGGCGTAGGCTGGGCCGTGCACACGCCATCCAAGGATTCCCGAACATCGTCTCCCTCGTCAGGCCAGACGGCATGCGCGCCAGGCATGGACAGCGACGAGGCGGGGGGGGGGGGGGCAGGTGCAGGGGCGCCTGGCGACCGCAGGGCGAACTGGGCACCGCCGTGCGCCACAGGCGGGAGCAGAAAGGCCGAGAAACGCGGCGAGAGCAGCAGGGCGTTGGCGCGTGTCCGGGGCCCCGAAAAGCGTGCGGCGACGGCCCCCGAGGGGTGGCCTCGGAGTCCCCGACGACCTCACCGCACGGTTTTGGGGGACCTCGAGGCCACTGACGAGCACGGAAGATGGCGAGAGGACGGGGTAATCGGAAGACTGCAAATCCGGACGTGCTGAAACTATCCGACTTCCGAGCGAACTGTTTGGGCTGGCACTGGACCCCCCTTCCCACAGCCCCTCCTGGGAGCACGCAGCCCGCCCGGGGGTGGGGAGGCGCCAGAGTGAGGTCGGGCATGTCCTCCTTCCGGCGGCAGTTGGAAGACAAGCAAAAACAATCTTAAAATGCTCAAACATGACATAACAAAACAACACAAACACATCCTCCCCAAACTACTTGTTTACTATGTTTGAAGGTTCCTCCTGTGGAGGGACATGCCCGACTTTCACGTCAGAGGCGACGCCAAGGGATATGGAAGGGGGCTCCAGCGCCGAGCCCGAGGAATCCACGCGGACACATAACATTG